ACGATTTGGAGATGATTACAAAAGGAACAAGAAATGTATTGTTTTCTCTAATGTACAATTTGTATAAACCATGTTGCCATATTTGTATTAAGANTAGCTCCTTGCAAACTCTACTTGTTTTGCAAAATTTACAAGATGGTGATCTTTCTCACCATCTAACATTAAGGTTTTCAACACATGGGTTCACAACATAATTAAGGGTGAAGAAGTTGTCATTTTGTTTGCTTTTGAATCTTTTTTTTTTCCTTCTCTTTTTTGCTCTAGTTCTTATGAAAACCATAATTTGTTTTTAAATTTTTTTTTGTTTCTTTGAAAACAAATTTGTTTTTACTTGTTAATCCTGTATAATTTTTATGACTCAATTGTCTTCTCAACCTAATTGTCTATTAGTGTAAATTGTTTCTTTGAAAGCTTAATACTCTGATTGTATATAGTGTACTGTCCAATCCACCAATGACTTACATAAAAGTGTATATTTTCCTTAAAAAAACCCTATTATTAATCTAACCACCATTCTGGTATGCGATTTTGTTCAGTGTAAACAACTAAACCCTATTTAACATACAACATCCGAAACAAATGAACAACACATTCTCTCTTACTTAGAAATCAAACATGCTTGAGTATATGTTAGTAATGATGATGGTCCTTTTAGCCGGAAGCTCTGACGGTCTGGAGGTCGGGTTTTACCACCGAAGCTGCCCGTCGGCAGAAGGTATAATTCTCCGCGTTGTGAAAGAAGAGGTGGCCAAAAACCGTGGCACTGCAGCGGTTCTACTCCGGCTACAATTCCATGATTGCTTTGTGGAGGTAAGTTCAGGATTCGTCTCCTTGTTAATTTTGTAATCACAAGTTTCCCTCCTTCTTCTTTCTCGTTATTAGCCAGTACTCTGTTTCTCTCCTTCATTCTTCAGTCATGGATTTTTACTGCAGGGCTGTGATGGATCGATCCTTCTCAAGCAGGAAGACGACGAGAGTTTTGCAGCGGGGAATGCTGGCGTTGGAGGATTCGACACTATCGACAAGGCCAAAGCAGCCGTTGAGCAGGCATGTCCCGGCATTGTCTCCTGTGCGGATATAATCGCCCTCGCGGCCAGAGACGCCGTTGTTCTGGTAATATGAGGCTTTCCACATTCATTCAGCGAAAAAGGTCTATCCGACCAAGACCTTGTTCTGCTAAGTTCCGGTGCCCATACTATCGTCACCCCAAGATTGGACGCTAAAGACCCATCCCTTTCTCCAGATTTCTTCCAAATATTGCGATCCAAGTGTCCCCAGGGAGGAGATGTTGGCGTGAAGATCCCGTTGGATTGGGATGGGGAGTTTCTCTTCGACGACATCCGATCCGGTAGAGGTGTATTATCCTCAGACGCTGTCCTCTACAGGGATCGCACGACCAAGAAGATAATCGACTCCTACTCGAGTTTAAACACCACCACGATGCCTGATTTTGCAACAGATTTTGCCGAGGCGATGGTTAAAATGGGCAAAATCGGGCTCAAATCAGGAAGTACGGATGGAGAGATTAGGAGGCTTTGTAACGCGACCAATAATTAAAACATGAAATTGTAAAGGGTTTTCATTATGACAATAATAATTAAAATTTGAACTAGTACACTGATCTTAGTTTGAGGTCGGTCCATTTCCACCTTGGCCCAATCTCTTTCTCCTCTCCTTCGATGCATGCATTTTGAGATAATCAAACTCTAATCCTTTTTTCCTCTTGATTGATAGTGAAACCAAACAACGTGAAATTTTGCATCTTCCGGCGATTCCTCTTTCTGACTGTTTTTGATTAATGTATTACATTTTCAAAAACAGTCTAATGTTGTAAGATATCATGCTGTTTATTTTGGAAATTTACTTGAAGAATATAATCTTGTAAGATATCATGCTGATTTTTCATTACTCTGTTTTCTTCTTTGCAGGAAACGCAACTGCTCTGTTCTTGAACTTGCTTGAAATTTTTTTTCTATTCTATGTTGTTTTTCTTGAAATATCATCTTAAAAGTTAAAGAAAATTCAAGATTCTTCATTTTATTCATAGGATTACATTCAAGAGAATCATCAAGAACAAATCGACCGAGCAATTTTCAGGCATTCCTTACCCAATGACTTCCTCAACTGTCTCCTCTCTGCTTGGTACATCTTTTTATTAACCTTAAAATTTCATATCTTTAATTTAGGGTTTAGTTAGGGCTTAAAGCAGTTTAATTAGGGTATTATTCCTCTGTTTCTTGGTAGGCACGGACTTCCGTTTGTGTCAAAAGACAACACATTAGTGACAACAATCAATGGAACAGGAGCAGTAATCGAAATACTTTACGTTTTGATCTTTCTTGTGTTTGCTCCAAAGAAAGAGAAAGCTAAAATCTTTGGTATTTTCACGTGTTCTTACCGTCTTCGCTACTGTCGCTCTCGTCTCTCTCTTAGCTCTAGATGGAAACTCGAGGAAGCTCTTTTGTGGTCTTTCAGCTACTATTTTCTCCATCATCATGTACGCTTCACCACTCTCCATCATGGTAAGTAAATGATAGATTCTTTAGTTTCTCCAAG